AGGTGCAAGGGCAGAGAGCACCTGGCTGACGGGCTGACTGGCGTCTGGCTACGGGATTTTGGGCGTCAAAGCCGCCACCAATAAAAGTGGCTAACAAAAGCGAAAATTGGGAAAAAAGATTCGAATGTGGCGCGTGTCTAGGAGAGGGGGAGAACGGCAACCGAATCGAACGAACCCTTCGCTGACTGACCGCCTGCTGTGGTCCCTCGAGCGAGGTGCCAACAGGGAGAGAGAGAGAGAGAGACTCGACTCGAGTCCGGAGTCTATATAGAAATCATAGGAATCGGGGATTTTGGCACACGCACTCGGGCCCATTGTCTGGGCCCGTTACAAATTGTTGTGGGCGTTCCAAATCCGCTTACGACTCGACCTCGACTCGCCTTTCTCTCGGCACTCTCCCTCTCCCTCTCTCTCTCTCTCTCTCTCTCCCATTCACTTGGCTGGAATTTTAATTTTGTGTGAGTTTTGATTCCGAGGCAAGTCGCATTTCATCTTCTGCTGGGTTTTTGAGCGTTAAATCGCCAAATCCTTCGTTAATTTTGACGTTTGTCTTTGTTCAAATGATGGCGAAGGCGATGGGGCAATGGCGAGGGTGCGGACTGATGATGACCAGCGGTCAGCGGATGGATGACCCGCAGTTAGGGTGAACGTAAGCCCGGAAGGAGCAGCACATGTGGGTGGATGGATGGATAGATGGATGGATTGTTGGACGGCCAGACTGCAATTGTCCGTTGGTTGTGATTAAAAATTTAATTCGAAATTAGCGCAATTGTTGGCATTGCTATTGCTCCCTTTTTTTTTCGATCGATTCGAGTGGAAAGACAAAATAAAATCGATGTCTGTCTCACAGGCAGCTGCCCTGCCCGCCCCTGCCCTGCTCACACGGCCCTGAATGATGGCAACAATTTCCTGATTACTTTTGAGCCCTCACCCCACACACACGAATGCATTTTATGGTCATCAAAGAATGTTGCTTTTCATACTCCATCGATTTGATTTGGTCAGTCAAAAGTAAGGGTTTCCCTTCACTGTGAAGAAGGTGGGGAATATATTTGGAGTTGGGGGAAGTGGGACTAGGAATTGGTGCCCAGCTGCGACTTCTTATATTCTGTATATATATAGAAAATATATATAGAATTACAGAGACTTTGATTGGTGACCCCGACATGAAAAAACAAATGATCGTTTTCCACTAAAAATATCTCGAATCCAAGATAAAATTAATATTAAATATAAAACGAGGATTCAAAGAGTTTTGCATTTTCTACAGACAGAAAACTAACCAAAGTTTCCTCTAAGAAACTTTAAATGAAAGTTAGGCACTCTAGAAGTCTCTCAAATATCTTTTACGAAGAGCATCAGAGATTACTCCCCCCAGCCCTACGAAGCTGTCTCTTATTTCTCAGCGGCTGGACATATCAATCAACTGCTAAGAAATTAGACCAGGGATAGGGTTTCTTTCGGGCTGAGAATATAAAATAGGAATAGGGATGGATACCACGATGGGTACGGGTACGGGTATGGGTATGGGTATGGGTATGGGTATGGCTCTTGGGGGTGGTGGGAAATGACCATAAAAACCAAACAATGGCGTGTTAATGGCAACTTTAAACTGACACCACTCCACGCGAAGGTTAATCGCTTCCATGCCGGACATTGGGCAGCACCCGGCACGGCACCACCCGCTGCTATCTAGGTTAGGGTTTGGATTCGGGGTTTTGGGCTAGGCCGAGCACTCGCCCCCGACGGCGAGCTCGTCGCGTGATAAATGCAGCAAACGCAGCGGGTGGACAGCGAATAGAGTTGTCAACTGGCGGCAGTATTTCAGAGTTGACACGTCCCATAGTTCGGTTTGGCTAGTTTCGATTGCAGCTGAACACTCCACACACGAACACACATGAAAAATGGCTCCCACGGGAGGCGGCAGGAGGATTCTATGATTCAATTACGCTCAATAGAAATGTCACTAAAAAGTGTTTGCATATTAATTGAAACGAAACAGCGGTGGATGGGGTGCAGTGCATGGCCAGTGAGAGTGAGAGTGAGGCATGTCGGAAGCACTTGAATTGTCAATTGATTTTGTGTGGTTTGTTTCAACAAAAATGTTGTACAAATTGTGCGCAAATTTTTGTTTTTTGTTTATTGCTCTCACTGGAACCACGCCCTTATCAACACTATATATCGGTCGGGGTGTCCCCCGGTCTCCTGCTCGTTTTTTATTTTCCACTGCCACTGCCACAGCCGCTGCCCATGGCCAGGTGTGGCTAGTTGTTGTCGACTCTTGTTTGCTTTTGCATTAAACGGTTTGTTTTGCCAACCAAAGTGTTGATTTTATGGCCGACCACCGACGCTGCCGATGCCAATGCCAACGCCGTTTTTTGTTAGCCCACGCCACGACATTGGAGCTACTAAATCACACACAGTTAACTTCTAACAGATATGGCAGTGGAGTGGATATATCATTTCAATCTCTGCAATTTGCAATTGTTTACCCGATAGCAGTAAAACAATTTAGTTCCCCATTCCCCTGGGTTCGAGTTCTATTGCAATATTGGCTAGACTGCAAATTTAGTTATGAGTCAGTCAATTGTCATTTTACAGAGCTTTTTAGAAGTAAACAAATAAAGCAGCAATTTTTGGCTTCAATTTATGCAAAAACTCTCATGTTCTTTCCTCGAATGAATATTTTAGGGATAAACTTTGTTAATATGCAAACATTTTAGCTGCGTTTTTTATTTATTTAAAAATATATTTAGTAAAAAAATCTCTTCTCAAAGAATTACCTATTCCAAATCAACTTTATCCTTTTTTTTTTTTTTTTTTGGAGACGCACCTATTGTGATATCTGTGGAAATCTTTGCTTGTAGATTGATTACCTCATCAAACCACAGCTAAACAGAAACTATCGCTCAAATAAAAGGTTTATTGGAAGCCAAGACAATACTCTCTTTTTTTTGGACTTACACTCTCCATTACTTTGTAGAGCTCGCCCCATAAACCCTTCATTACACGGCACTAAAGCTAAAGCCGGCGGCTATAAAAGCAACTACAACTAAAACCCCGAAAATAAAAACTCAATTTGAATTCAGAAACCACCAAAATGGTGCGTGCTTATCGCCCTTGCCTCGGCACCACGACTCCAGACACACCAAACCAGAAAAAAAAAAACATACAATCCAGGGTCCAAAATCGAAATTAAACCCTAACTCGAACCCGATGAGCTCGATAAAGCGACAAAAGCGGTCTAGAAAATAAATTAAAAATACATTTTTACGTAAATGTGGCACATTAAAAGGCAACTTGAGGAAAGCACATAATAAATATAAAAACACAATTAAATAAGTGCATACAAAACAAATTCGGTAAAAAGTGGAAACAACAAAAGGAGGAGCAAATGAAACAGAAATAAAAAGCAGACGACTTCAAATAACACCAAGAAATGTCGAGTGGTGGCGTGAAGTGAAGGGGCAAGCCAATGGCAACAATGGAACACGCTCCGCTCTATGGGATCCCCGTGGTATATGGGGCAGAGGAGGGGCTTACTATTATTCGGGGATTCTCAGCTACAACAGAATCAATGAACGGGGAACTAAAGAAGAGGTCTATAAACAAGAGGATTTTATCTTTTAGTTCCCTTAATTAAAAGCAACAATATTCCTTTGCAAAAGTTGTCAACGAATTATTAATTATGATTTATTTATTTAAAAATGTTCAAAGACTTCTTTGACCAGGCTCAAATCTTCATTCCAAGTTCCCTAATAAACTACTTAATCACTCGCAAAGCTTCTACTCAGTCCAAAATGCCCGACTTCTATTTCTTTATGTATGCATCACTCCCCAGAACCCCCAGCTGACAAAACCAAGACAAAAGAGGTGTAAAGACAAGCCGGTTCGAGCAATGTTAATGTAAATTTCAATTGTTTTAATTTATTTTGTGACCCGTTTGCAACCCCCCGCCAAAACCGTCACGGACTAACTTAATGCCACTCGTACATATATTGTATAAAGCTAGGAAAAAACTGAATTAAAATGAAAACACGAAAATGCAGAGCGATTGCCGGTCGCCGGCTCTATTCTCTGGCCTATCTCTGCGCCCAAGACGTGACTGGCATTCCAGCCAGGGAGCTGCGGAACCAACTGTCCCCGAATATCTGGAGCACAACGAACGCTCTCATAACCAGAATAGTTGACTGAACTTTGGGCCTGCCTGCCTACCTCCCTCCCTCCTTCCCGACATGCATATAGATATAGATTTCCCGAATTTTCCTCGTACAAATTTCTGTGTGTAAAAAATAAAAAAAAAAGCAGCCGAAAAATGCATCCGAATGTTCGATGAAAAATGTATTCGGTTTACCATTAATCCGGTGCCCTGATCCGGGGCGACAGATCATTACACACGCGCGTGGACTGCCCTAAAATCAGAGCAGGGCGGGGCTGGGCATTGGGGGATATTTTTGGGGGACATGCAACAGTCCATTTTGGCCCCACGACATTGTACATAAGTGTATGTAAATTTATTAATAAAAACTCCCCAAAAAAAACAAAAAAAAAACGGATGCACATCACTCCAAGCAGTGGGGTAGTAGCAGTGGCAGTGGCAGGGGCACGTGATCGGTAGGAGGTGGAAGAGGAGGGCCGTGCAGTTGTTCTGCGTCTGTAATTTATAGGCCCCGTCCCAAATGACATGCTAACTAATAGTATCATCATAATTTATACATACAAAATACATTGCTTATGTAATTTATGCCCTCACACCACCCCACACCACGACACGCCATGCCACACCACGCCACGCCAGTGTACTCCTACCCTGAGCCACCCCACCACTGATTTCCATAGCAGATCCGTGCTGACAGAGGTCACGACACCCGCCAAGTGCGAAAGGTCAGCCCGTGTTAATGGCTGCACTGCACTGCGACCCCCAGCTGCATTTGAATATCGATCACAATTAAACGGTCATCGCTAACGATAACGACCCAGAGAATAATAATGGGAAAATATTTTGATCGTACATAACGTTTCGTTTGGTGTATTTAGCCAAATTCCAAAATATTTATAAGCCAAATTTGTGAAGGGATAGTGCGTGAGAGAGAGAAGCTACTTAGAACCAACTTGTGCCGTTGTTTTGGCCCCGTCCGCCTGCGGGATCGCCGAGACCTGCACGGGAGAGGAAAAGATGAACTTAGGATTCCAATATCAATCAATTATAATGACTCACCATTGTGGGATCCACCATTGAAGCCGCCGCCACCACCACCGTACATGCGGGGAGAAACACTCGCTCCACCACCACCCATGCCACCCATGCCGTTGCTCATGTCTTGGCCCATTTCCTGGCCCCCACCGTGCACCATGGAACCACTAGGCAGGCAGATAGAGGAGCAAATTATAATTTAGAGGCAGGCTAAAGACAGGATCGATCTACACTTACTACATGTCGGACTTGCCACCTGATGGATGGTAGTTGCCGTATTTGGACATCATCGAGCTATTGAAATCGGCAAAAGGATCTGGCGGCGAAGCAAACTGACCCTGACCCTGACCCTGGGACATGCCTTGCTGGTTGAAGTTGTGGTTCTGGTTGGAGTGCAGCCACTGGCGGCCGCCCTGATTCATCTGGAAGGAGTGGGGTATGTGGGTAACCCCTCTTAGGTAACCAATCTTGGGACTCACCTGTGAATAGTTGGACATTCCGCCTTGTCCTTGACCGCCGTGACTGTACTCCCAGCCGAATTCAGGACCATTGTAGTTTCCGTTCTCCATATCGAATTTTGTTTTACCGAAATGATAATATCAAAATTTTGTTAAACCGAAAATACAAAATGGAAATTTTTTATTTAAAAAAAATTTGTACAATTTTTTTTTCCTAGATGTTGACTGACTGTTTTTAGCTGCGAGAATGAGAATTTTCCAGTTGTATTCCAAGGTATAGACAAGTTGTTTCAAATGGGGCGAATCGATGATGACTAGATCTAAATAAAAAATAGAATAGAATAGAATAGAATTCCGTTGGGTCGGGCTGCCCTTTCTTTATTTATCAAATATATTTCAGAATATCTCTAACCAAACGTGTTCGATGGACTCTGCTGGGATTTGTTATTCCCATAATATTTACTCGTTAGCCCAAGATAAATATAAATCATATTTCCCATTTGTTTATCACCAAAAAGCAATCTCCAATTCCATGGAAAACCCTGACTTAATTGCTGATTTCTTTGTACGAGAATATGAATATTAATAATGCAAAACCAGTTGGAGATTTTGTTTGTACTCCATCAAATCTGTGTGGTGAATCTCGCTGGGTATTCGGATGCTTATCTTCCAATTTTCCCACATAATCCCCGTCATAACAATATTCAAATTGTGGGCAAACACAGAGAGTCATTATATAGATATTTTATGGCCCCGCACAGGTTATGGCCAATAAACTGCCAACTTATTAATGGCATTTAAAAACAGATATTGGAATTTATTGAATTAGTCAATTAGGTGTCTGGCTCTCTGATTTATGGAATTAATATTGTGATGTCAATGGGTGTATTTATTTCTTTATAAATATTGTATAATGGTTCAACTACTTAATTGAATGTACAATAAATAAATTAGCACACAAAGAAGTCTATGGCAGACTTATGATATATATATTTTAGAATGTAACCTAAAGGAGTAGAATATGTTCAATCCAAGTCCAATTAGAGCTGCTATCTCCCTTAGTTCGACTGTTGAGTTTGACCTGTCTCTGGGGCAACTTCCACCTGTGTGTGCACTCCGCATGCCGCACAGCTGTGTGTGTCTGCATCTGAGTGTGGCTCTGGCAAACCAGTTCCCTATCAATATTATTTATGTGTGTTTGCTGTCGGCTGAAACAAAGGCCACAGGCCGAACTACAAAGCAGCCTAAGACAATGCCAGATGACCTCATAAACTGCATCGTTATGAGGTTCATAAACATATTATATTGCTTCATATTCATAATGCTCATAGGATTGGACAATTGAGGCTAAGTAGGGATGTGTCCTTGGCAGACAGGCATCTACCTGTTGGGAGAGCCGTGACAAAAAAGTATCTCAAGAGCCCGAAAGATTTATGGCTACAATGGGCACACATACATACATACATATATCATGAGCTGTTTTGGGACAAAGGCGCTGCTTTTTAGCAGCAATTTAAAATCCATAAAATATTTGATGTTTTTTTCCAACTCAAAACAAGGCATCACACGAATGGGACACATCCACATCACATCCTCCCCAATGTCTAATCCCGTTTTATGGCATTCGTGCGGTTTGGTTGCCTTTTGGGCCATCAAATTGTTTTGTCACCTGTTGAAAACATTTTTTATTTTTAATTGAAATAAATCTGCCTGGAAATGCTGGAAATTCTACGGCTCCCTCGGCTTGCTTCATTGTCACTGCCGCAGTGAGGCGGGAAATGTTTTTCTTTCCGCATTTTCTCAGTGTTTATCTTTTATTGGAGTGGCCGTGTGACTATTTTTAGACTGTGAGTTCTTGGGGGAAATATGAATTTCAACCGCCGACTGTCCATCCTAATTGCTCTCAATTAACACCTTCGGTATTATGGCAGTGCCCTGCCACGGAGTCTGAGCCTGAGACTGCGATCATTTGTCAGATCCGGGGGCGTCCTAATGTGTTGCTATGCCCCGACAAACATTTTGATTTATCAACTCTTTTTACATTCCCCACACGAGTGCATCTGTCAGAGGTGGAGGAGCCCGAAAATAGCCGCCCGATCTTCGACTCTACGAGTCATCGGAGTCATCTGCATTAAGATCCGACAACGACAACACTCGAAACGATTTAACTCTTTGACCCCACCCACTCGTCGAACATCGCCCCAACTCCCCATCCCCATCGCCAGCAACCCAATCCCGGCCCAACGATCCCATCCAAACCGATCTGTACCGAACCGAGTTGGATGGGAGGCGACAGGCACACATGCGAGGGCCTATTAAAAAAATTGTTTATGAAAACAAACATTTTCGAGGCAATTAATCATCGGCACGGCGCGTGGGGGAACTGCAGCAGCAGCAGCCTGAGCAGCAGCAGCCTGAGCAGCAGCACCTTCTTTACCTCCTTTACCCCTTCATCCATGCCTCACGATAATGATGATGATGATGATGGGCTCCATCTCTCTCCATCTGCAGTAGCAGCAGCAGTTTTGAGTTCGAGGCGTTCTGAGTGCCTCCAATTTTCATTTGGAAATCGTTTTATGGCCCCAACGACGGGCAGCAAGAGCAGCTTTTGGGGGAGTGTTAAATGTCTGCCAATTAGTGATGCTTGTTGGCTCGCTCTGCTATTGCGATCGTTCCCCTAATTGGCTAAAATATGAAATGCCTCTCGCTTAATCGTCGAAATAAATCGCTCTCGATCGCATCATACGAGTATGGTGGGAGGTGTGTAAATGTTGAGTGCTCTACGGGTGGGATCAGCCTCATTGATACTAGACAAACCTATTGTTAAGTTTAGTAACATCTTTGTTTAAATAAAATTGCTACGTAGACTGACTGCTTAAAGATTGCAGAATAGCAAATTATAAAGAAAGAATTTTCAAGAATTTATGGATATTGAAAACGAGTGTAGATTTGTGATGAGCAGACGAAAAATGAAATTATAAAGTAAAGTACAATATATTTAATGGACTGGCAGATAATAGATATTAATAGATATCCAATGCAATATACTATGAGGATCCTAGTAGATCATTGAACAACTTTTCCATATGTACGTTGGGATAAGTAAAGGAGTGATGCAAAGGTATTGCAAAAAGAAGTAAAATTCGATTAAAAAAATCAACCAGAAGGAGGAGCTAAAAAACTACGAATAATCTTTACTATTTCTATATTTTTTTCTAAATTTTAAATCCAGGAAAAGAGGGAGAAAACGGATGTAAAGTATAAACCTCTTAGATCTGCCAACTGACACTTATTCCCAGTAATATGGATATATTTTTAAATCGCTTATGCCACGATTATTCCATAATATGATATCATGTGGCCCTGTTGGTGTTTTCTCAGCTTCTAAGCTGCGGTGAGGGAGTCATTTGGCAATGAAAAGCAGCATCATTAGGCGCACATTTATTGGGTTCGGATGTGGCAGCAGAATCCACTCACTGATGCGCCATAGATGGGACATTAATTTTCGCTGGAAATTGGTTTGCTGACCGATGCAGCTTGGCCTGGTTTAATGTGCCGAAAACGAAATGAAAGACGGACAGGACAGTCCGTCTGTACGGGGGTACGGGGTACGGGTCATCTGTCAGAGTGGCAAAGCAAAAGGTCGCCAAAAGGTCGATATTGATTTCACAGTTATTGCTCTGCTGACAAAGCGCCGCTTTCGAATGAAATGTGTAATATTTCAATTTTTGAGCCACGTGGACAATGGGGAGAGAGGGCAGGGCAGGGCAGGGCAGCCCCTTCATGCGGGGAAAGAGATGTCACAAAATGCGTACATGACAGTATTTAAACTGCCTGACCTCTGGTCAGTGCCGGTTCCACCCCCCCTTTCATTAGACCTGGGCCACCACAGGGCACCACCTCCATTGTCCTGCGTGAGTCCTCCATGTCCCCGGATCGGGTTTATTGTTATTGTTATTATTCGAAAGTGTTCCCTGCAACTGTCAAACGGAAGTATTTCGGTCTTTTGTTGGCTGCACTTCTATGGTACGGGTCCCGGGACCCGGGGACACCCATTGAACCCAGTGGCACGCGCCACTGAGGAGAGCGACGCCTCTGCTTCTGCCTCTGCCCCGAGCTAATGACGAGGCCCGACCGACGCGACGGAAGCCCGCTCAAGTGCCCCTTAAAATTGTGCCATTCAGCATCCTGGACTCAACCCCCAAAAAAATGTCGAAGGAGTCAACTATGTGTCCGTCCATCTGTGGGTGGATGTATCTGTATCTGTCTCTGTATCTGTCTCTGTATCTGTGTATCTGTGTGAATCATAAAGACGGGGCTAAATGATGCAAGGAATGCCCCTTGGTCGTTGTTGTTGCTGTTGTTGTTGGCACATGACAGGCCAGCCAAAAACCAATAAATGTTCGCAAATTTATTGCTTTTCATTCAAAAATTACTTTTGTTTGTTTCGGTTTTTCACAATCGAGTCCACAAAAATCCTTCCATCACGGATGGATATGCCTGCAACCCCTCAAGTATATTTGTGCCGGACAGGACATCAGTTTTTATATCGAAAATAGTCAAACAGCAGCAGCAGCAGCAGCCATAAACAACGGAGAACTACTAAAAGTAGCAGTGAAATGTGGATACAAAATTGCAATCTTTGAGATACAGATACGGGGCAGGAGAAATCTATGAGCTTGGCAGGACACAGTCAGCTGAGAGGAAGATAACTTTTGACTCCGAAATTCAAATGGTCGAGAACCATTTAAACTGCCAGGGGCCAAAGTCATAGGAATGCTACTTGAACGGGTGGGTATCGTATCCTGCGGGTGGTTCCCGAATACCATACATAGATAGATATCCGCTCCCTTCCCATCCCCCCTGGCTACCAATACCAATGCCCTTCTTTCCGTTTCCACCAAAAACCAACACCAAGCCAACTGTCAACGCATTGTCAATTCTATTTTTATGTTTTATGTTTTTTCATTTTCCCTTTGTTTTCATTTTCATTTATGTTTTCTTCTGTTCTCTGCTCTTGTTCTCATTCTCATTCTCTCGTTTTGCGTGGCTTCCGCTGCGCTTCATTTCGTTTTAGTAGCTTCAAGCGGTTGTCGCCTGTCCCACAGTCCTCTCCACACTGACAAAAAAGAAAGGCATATGATCTATTGAAGATATATTTGGATTAAATCACATTAATAATTTTTGTTTGGCTCATTTCACAGATTCAAAATTTATTATGGAACAAAT